GGCTCCAGACCTTGAGCGCCAGCGTCGACGCCAATACCTAATCAAGGAAAAGAAAAAGATCACACAAGCGCAAGAGTGGCTCTCGGCGATCAAAAAAGAGGAAGACGATGAAAAGTTCACGGTACCTTTGGTCTTCAGATCCCAAACTCCGGAAAAGCCTCCCAGAGGCATATAGTTGAACATACACTAGGCCATTAATCTGGTAGGACACCTGATTCGTAGCTTTTTTTGTGTATCCTGCTTCTTGTATGCTTGGAAAAGACTGCTGAGAAGGTTTTTGTGAAATATGTGCGGTTGCCCGTTCGTTCGAATCGAACGATGTAGTTTAGTTGAATACACGACTGGAGATATAGCTGGATCACGATCGAGGTGAAAATACAGCGGGAGTAACTTGATAGGGCTGCAGTGTCGCATAATACAGTCGCATATGCTAATGGAGATGAGGGTTCTTTGTGCAGACGCCTTGCTCTATGGTCGCTTATCATCCTTGTGAGTCAATGTATTTACCTAGATCAATTTCTCTCACGTTGGAATGATAGCAAGCCTATGTACTGACACTTTCTCAAACACACCCACACCTGCTGAGGCTTACCAGGGATTATCCGAATGTCACTGGCTTACTGTAGTGGTGAGGGAAACCCTCACTGGTTCAATTTCGGCAGTACATTCACCACTATATTCACGAAAGAGCTTAAGACCAGTTATTACCTACTCTCCTCAACACTGCAGAGCTGCAGATCACAATTGGAGTATACACTTTGACTAATCAAACACAGAACTAGGTAATAATGTCCTAAAAAGGAATGAAGCTATCCAGCGGACGAAAGCGGTGAATTTTACTGCCAAGTTATTTATGGAATATCCGCTTTTAGGCTCTCTTTCTCCTGACGGGACCCCGTACATCATTAGTATTCAGGCCCAAGAAAGTTCCGGCCCTGAGAAACCTTTCTACTGTATCCTTATCCTTACTCACCTCCCTTTTTGCATGTTCAGTATCACTTGCTATCCTCACAGCCTTCTACATTGCGACATCACCAAACTTACCTTTTGATACCCACTACATCCCCCACCCCACCTGTTGTTTTCCCAATGCTTCAAGTACCAATGCGGGAACATACCAACGTGGCCTCCACCAAGGCTATTATCTTAGTATGTACTGCAGAAAGCCGGTCGCCAAATGGCTGTAATTGACATGACTTACTGCTAGGTCGGTGGTCCATCCAGAGGAACCCGTTTCAGGCCTCTGTCCCTCGATGTGCCCAAGGTTAGTGGCCCCTCCGTTGATCTCCCATGACCCCTGAATAATCTCCGAGCATGTGCTAACGAGTGATGTGATCTACCATTAGCCTCTTTTCGAAGTTGCCGGACATCCTATCATCTATCACGGCCTCAAAGCCCTCGCCAAAATCCCCGATATCCGAGATGTGTACCTAGTCGGCTACTACGATGAAACAGTCTTTCGCGACTTCATCAAAGACTCCGCCAAGGAGTTCCCCCAATTCCGCATTCAATATCTGCGAGAATACACATCTCTAGGTACCGCTGGCGGTCTCTACCACTTCCGTGATGCCATCCTCAAGGGCAAACCGGAGCGCATCTTCGTACTTAATGCCGACGTCTGTTGCTCTTTCCCGCTTGGGGAGATGCTGAGGCTGTTTGAGGAGAAGGATGCAGAGGCTGTCATTCTTGGAACCAGGGTGAACAATGATGCCGCCACCAACTTCGGATGTATAGTTTCCGATTCGCATACCAAGCGAGTGCTTCACTATGTCGAGAAACCCGAATCGCATATCTCCAACCTGATTAACTGCGGTGTATATCTATTTGCGACTGAGTGCATTTTCCCTTCCATCCGCAGTGCCATCAAACGCCGCACCACCAGGCCCCGTCTGGTATCCTACCCATCCTCTGAGAATCTAGAATCGTCATTCATCGCTGCCGAGGAAGACACGGAGAAGAGCGAAGTCCTCCGCCTGGAGCAGGACATTTTGTCAGACCTTGCCGACAGCAACCGCTTTTTCGTCCACGAAACGAAAGACTTCTGGCGCCAGATTAAGACTGCCGGCTCAGCCGTCCCTGCCAACGCTCTCTACCTCCAGAAGGCCTTCCAGGCCCAATCCGACGAACTTACCCCTCCTTCCGCGACCATTGTTCCCCCAGTCTTCATCCACCCCTCCGCAACAGTGGATCCCACAGCGAAGCTGGGACCCAATGTTTCGATTGGTCCCCGTGCGATTGTGGGTGCGGGAGCCCGTGTCAAGGACTCGATTGTGCTCGAGGATGCTGAGATCAAGCATGACGCTTGTGTGATGCACTCGATCATAGGATGGAGCAGCCGTGTCGGTGCCTGGGCCCGTGTCGAGGGTACCCCTATTGCGAATGGAACGCATTCCACCAGCATCGTGAAGCACGGCGTCAAGGTACAGAGCATCACCATCCTGGGTAAGGAATGCGCCGTTGGTGACGAAGTACGGGTGCAAAACTGTGTATGCCTGCCGTACAAGGAACTCAAGCGTGTAAGTGCCTCTTCTATCTGTGAAATATTCTCTTAACGCAACTGACCACATATACAGGATGTCGCCAACGAGGTCATTATGTAAACTTACATGGAATCGGGTAACGTTGGGTGGTCTCGTGAACATACATTGTGGTCCATACTTTTCCTCCTATATCTTGAATTTAATATAATTTCCTACATTAGCCTGACTCGTTATGAACTATACCTCTGGCAAGCCATGGACTTTGTTTGCCCTCATTAGTATTGACTACGTGGTTCATATGGTCAAGCCCAATACTGTGCTCTAGACTACGGCTGCTTCTCCGAGAAAAGAAATATTTAGAGAAATAGTACAATGATTATCCAATCCGGCATGATTCATGACCACTAAGGTTGATAAAAAGGACATCTTCAACATAAATAATACACCTATTACGCCCTGACAAAAAAACAAGTATAAGCCCTTCACTGCAAGATCGTAACACATCAGATCGAGTTGAGTATAATCGACACATACTATGTCGGTCGTAAGCAGACAGCCCCAATACTGTACAATTCCAGTGATTGCCCAGATACATCTGGATAAGGGTGTAAACCGCAAGAGCTCATCTATAAGCCGCAGGATCATAATGCGTCTGTTCCGATGGATGGCCGTACCCATCATGTCCATAAGTGCTGAATCGGACACGGGGACGAGTAGGCGTCGGTTGATAATAATCCTGCGCCTCACCACCATGATGCTGCTCAAGATTGGAACTGGCGCCATATACAGGCGGGGGCATCGTCTGACCGGAATAATTACCCGGAGCAGGGATATCACTGTAGACTTCATCCGGGTGATTATTCGAGCGAAAAGCGGGATGTTGTTCATCGAGTCCACCATAAGGGCCCATGCCTCCCGACAAAGCACTGCTGCTGCGATCGTGCATCTTGTAATCGTTCAAGGCCGCGTTGCTGGCCATGGGGTCGTACTCGCCCAGACGAGTCTGGCGTCTGCGTACGATAACATCGAGGGCGATAGCGGCGATATAAGAAATGTTTGCCAGGACAGTAAAGGCGAACAATGCCTTGTATATCCGGCAAACGGTGATACCGGTAGAAGTAGCCCAGTATGTGGCATTGCAGGTGGTCAGGATCGTTTGGGACATGCTCCAACTCAAGAGGCCGAGGGAAATGAGCCAGAGAAGGAGACAGATCGTATTCGATAGGAGTGATAGCGCGGTGAGAGGCCATAGCAGCAGTGGGTTATGGTAGTTAGGACGTAGTTGAGAAGGGAAAGGATAACGGCGATTAGTAGCTAGAATGTGCTTATATTAGTTACATCTCTTGAGGCTGTGGGTTGCCATGCGAGACTTACAACCAGGAATGCCCAAGGAAGTTTGAAGCCACCTTGATGGAGGTTGTAGATGAAGACGGCTAGAATGATGCCGACGACCAGAGTAGAGATAAAGCCCACAGCGCGGATGGCATGAAATGGTATTGCAGGGTACGCCGATGGTTTCACGGATGTGGGTTTGGATCGCATGTTGATATCTGTTCAAGTCGGGGTGGTGATGCAAGAAGTAATCGATCGAAATTAATTAATTCTTTGGCTCGTGTGGGGGATAATACGTATGGATGTTGATATGATAAACAAAAACGGAGATCCACTTGTCGTCAATCAGTGCCACCGCACGTGAGGGATGGTGGTTGAATAGATTTTTGATATTCCTTGAACCCGCAAGAAGGAATATTAATGGGAGTAAAGAAGAAAGTGAAAATGCAAATCAACAAGGGAGAAAAACAGAAAATGCCCAACGAGCGAAAGGCTGTGGGTTGTTGATCCGGACAGGCGTCGCAATGCAAAGCCTCGTCTGTGGCCGATCTTTTGGCTCCACTGCGGGTGTTGCTAAAGAAAGAAGCCAACCACAAGGTTGGAGTCCACTAGTGGCATAGTCAAATACGATGACGACTGTTGCTGAGGTGGTTTTTGCCCCTAGTCATTCAAACGGTCTTTCAAAAACAAGTACCGATATGACCGTTCTGAGGAATGTGCCAGCTTGGGCTGAGTTTTCTGGATCAAATGCAAACATGCGAATCCTGAACTGAACAATCGCCATTGTCCTCTCTACTCCAGGCCCACGATCACATGACATCTCAGGAACCTCTTAGGCATCCCATTGCGGTCCAACTGCCACACTGTGGTCAAACAGAGCAAACTTCTTCCCCGCCTGCCCAGCCGTCGGTATTTGGAGACGATTATTCATCTCTTTTGAAGTTGATGAAAATGATGCCATCCAGTCTTTTGTTTAGTTATGTCACACTCGTACTAAACTAACTAGTTATTCATTAGTCAATGGTCTAGTATCAGATGCTGACCAATCCAGTCAGGCTCGTCAATATCAATTAGTACAAAAGCTCTCGTGTCTCCACGGTATCTCTGACATTGTCACATTGGTGTCAATGATCTATACTTCATCATGAGAATTATGTTCTTCTTTCTATAACATCAACACATCAATCAATGGCATCCCTCCTAACTAATACCCTTCCCTGGCATGATGGCGAGATACGAATGCGCAATTTGTTTCATATTCCTCCTCTTAGTAACCCCACAGTGCCTGCTCTAAGTTATGGGGCAACTTATATGCTCTTAAACTCGCCTTTGCTTGCTATTGGTGCCGTTGATCGACAGGGCCGACCTTGGACAACGCTTTGGGGTGGTGAAGTAGGCTTCGCCAAGCCAACTTCCCAATCGAAGATTGAGGTTAAGACTCCTGTTGACATCAGACATGACCCTCTAGCAGATATACTGCTACATGACAACTCAGGGGAGTCCGGGCAGTTGGTTTCCGGCTTAGTTGTCGATCTAGCAACCCGCAAAAGAGCAAAGCTTTTTGGGAGGAAAATCAGTGGATCGATACAACTGGGCGAAAAGAGCCAGGCTGACTCCAGCGGGGTAGGGATTGCGCAATTACTTGTGCAAATAGAAGCAAGTCTTGGTAAGGATTGAAACTAGAAGACTATAGCCATGAGGTGCTTACAACTGCAGGCAATTGCCCCAAGTATATAAATATTAGAAACATTACTCCAACTCTGCCTACTCCAAGGCTCATCTCCGAGTCCGCTCAACTTCCTTCTAGTGCTTTGAAGCTCCTTGGCCGTGCAGACACGCTGTTCATATCCTCACGACATGGAGATGTGGATATGGATACCAACATCCGTGGCGGACCTGCAGGCTTTGTCCGTGTTATATCCAATGAACCCAATGGAGCCGTATTTGCTTACCCAGAATATTCCGGGAATCGCCTGTACCAAACCTTAGGCAATCTTCAAACAACGCCTTTAGCGGGTTTTGTCTTTCCGGATTTTGAAACAGGAAATGCGTTATACCTCACCGGACAAACTGAGATCTTCGTGGGGAAAGAGGCCGCCGCTCTCCTTCCACGATCAAACCTGGCCGTGAGAGTGACTGTCACCGCAGCGCGGTACGTAGAGAAATCATTAGCATTTCGAGGCGTTGCAGGAGCAAAATCTCCATACAATCCAAGTGTACGATATTTAGCCACAGAAAAGGCTAGCCCTGCTGCTATAGGAGATGAAAAGTCATCTGTCACAGCTATGTTGGTAAAGAAGGAATTACTTACCCCGACAATATGCCGGTTCCGTTTCCAAATCTCAGATCCGTCGAAGATTGGGCCATGGGTGCCTGGGCAATATGCTACCCTTTCATTCCAAGAAGAGTTGGACATGGGGTATAGCCACATGAAAGATGACGATCCATCGAGTATCAACGATGACTATGTCCGAACTTTCACAATCTCATCATATCCAGTACATAACCGCTCTACAGAGTTTGAGATAACTGCTCGGAGGCACGGTAATGTAACCAATTACCTTTTCAGAACCAACGAGCGAGCGGGTTTGGAGGTACCTTTGAAAGGCTTTGGTGGTGACTTCTATTTGAAAGTACCAAGCGAGCATGACAAACTTCCTTTTATCGCCGGGGGTATCGGAATTACGCCACTTCTCGCACAACTCCCAGGTATTGGTATCTGTCACTTACGTTTACTATGGTCTATTTCCATTCGCGACCTCGGTCTGGTTTTGGATACGTTCAATCGATTCCCTCAACTACCCCACGTCACAAGCCTTTTCATAACTGGGCCTGAGCCACAGGATGAGAAGACTACTGAACAACTGGCGACATTAGACGCATCTGAAGCACGAGTTGAACGTCGCCGAATGGAAGCCAAAGATCTAGATTTGTCCTTGGCAGATGTGTGGTACTTCTGTGGTGGTCCTTCCTTGAAGAGTTCAGTGTTGAATTGGCTTGTCGGGAAAGACATAGTATATGAAGATTTCAATTATTGATAGCTATAGTGAAATTTTGTTGAAGGATCTCGCATTTCCGTATATCTTAGGGCACATACATACCGGATCTTCTACACCCGTGACAGCTCGAAGGCTTTCCCTTTTCGTTTCAGTGCCCACCCCTCGACACCTTTTGTAGACCTGGGCACGCCTGAGCGTCCTGAGCTGATCACTGAGTAGAGGGTGAGCAGAGGGACTTGTAGCCTGAGTACGCTAACCTCAACAAAACACACCATGCTAGCCTGAGTTGCACTAAGTCTATTTTTTTTTCCTGTAGCGCTTTTGACCGTCATTGGCTTTTTGTCCACTCAAAGATATTAGCATCAAACCTCTAGGCAGACAATTCCTGGTTAACCTACTGAGAGCATGTGTTTCACTTGGAACGAATTCAGGGTCGACGGTGCTCAAGCAACAACCCTCCTCAATAGATGAACTAAATCAATCGAATTACTAAAATCCCTCAGTGCTTGAATCTCACCTGACTTGGTTCCGCTTGCAAAGATAGTTAGTACCTGTCCTACTTTTCCAGGTTACCTACCCTGTTATCTGTTTTGTCAGACTCTGGCTGAATTGACTGGCTCAAACTCAATTCATTCTTGAGCACTGTTTCTGCCGCCTCAGTCAGGTGTTCAACCGCGATCTATAACTTAACATTCAACCACTACCACGAGGTTACACCCTTCAACTCCACTACTATTTGTTGGGAGAATTAGCTCCCCATCATCTACTCTGATATATTTAATATTTTGCTACAATAGTATTAATCTAAAACCCTCTGCTCTTAGCCCCACCTTCCCCCCAACCAGATACATATTATCCAACACTTGACCTACTGCTGCGAGATTTCCATCACTAAGCCACCACAAGAACGAAAACGAGCTATGACATCCCGATTCTATCCCCTACAGCCTATAAGCCAGGATATCTACTTGTATCAACCTTCAAATACCCATCCCAATCCCAACCTGACGGACTCTCCTGGGCCCTGATAACACTCTGTACGTGGCTCGGAGGCGCAACACCCCAGCGCATCCAAAAATACATCAATGGCTATCGATCCCTCTACCCCGACTCGGCCATTCTACTTATCACTACACGCATACTGGAAATTAGTGCTCTTCCATTCAGTGTTCTCCACGCGCGATTAGGCCCCGCCCGCGACGTGATTCGGCAATTGAACAGCTCCACAGCAGAGGGAAATCCTCCTTCTATTCTCTTGCACATCTTCTCTCATGGCTGGTGTAACACTGCTCTCCAGCTAGCGATATCACTATGCACGGATTCGAACCACCCTTCCTTCGAGATCGGAAAATATCTCGGCGTTGTTATCTTCGATTGCTGTCCCGGAGATACATCCTTTGACCGGGCTTATCAGGCTGCAGCGCTTTCTCTTCCGAGCTCCTTGCCAGGCCAAATGGTAGGAAAATTGCTACTGTACCCTGCTATTGGTCTTATCAATGGCCTTCAGATGACTGGATGGATGAGCTCTGTGCGGGACATGCGGAAACAGCTGAATGATCCTCAAGTTTTTGGGGCCTCGGCTGCTAGGTTATACTTGTATTCTACAGCTGATCGAATGGTTAGGTGGGAGGATGTTGAGTCTCATCAGAGGGAGGCTAAATCTCTCCTGGGATGTGCGGTGGAGGGTATTGAATTTCCGGATAGTCCGCACTGTGCCTTGGTGAGGGATCATGCTGATCAATATTGGGCGGAGATAAAGACATTTTGGACGGAAAGGAGAAACAAGGAGCCTAATATGATCAACTCTGTACTGAGCGAGCGCCTTCGCAGCCGACTTTAATGCGGGGGGAAGATCGCTTCAAGCGTATTATCGCAGATTCTTCTTACTATATCGCGCAGGGTTAGAACTAGAAGTCATACGCAAACATCTTCTGGTGGGTGAAGTCGAAAGTTCATGAATGATAAAAGTCTCAAGAAGTATATCATTCTAAGACGTCAATTACTGATTATCCGGTTCGTTGTCGGTTGCAGTGTTGTGTACTGTATGTACGACCTCTGTTACGTCTCGTGGCTCTGATTCATATCGAACCCTTTGATAAAGATGCGCAAGATTGAGACCTGCGAAGCTACACATTACCACCCAGATGACCTGGAGTGAGTTAACTGGTGCTTGTCAGATCTCAGTTGCCTCAGACGAGCCAGTTGGTAGTCTCTTCAGTAACTCGCCCAAGGTGACAAAGTTCATTGCTTGATCTTGTAACTGACTGGTAGCCTCTTTCGACACTGCGGCAGAGAGATGCTTTGGGAGTTGATTGACAATAATAGCACTGCAAATTGTAACCCCAGTTGTCTGCCAAATTGACCTGAGCAATAAGGCTAATGTAGCGGCCATGCTAACTTCGCGCTGTGGGACGAATGAGTAGTTTGAATGTGTTTTCCTATTGCTTGATCTGGACTTCTGTCCTTCCCTAAAGACCATTTTCTCGGATACACTACAGGTGAGGCCCTGTTCAGTACAAAGTTTTAGACTATGGTGTTCATCAATAAATATCCATCTTTTAACCCCACCAGTGACCGCAAACCATTTCGAGTACGGTTTAATTAGCTTCTTGTCTACCGGTCAAACAAAATCAAGAATATTGAATGGGGTCTAAAAGATAGATAGATATATGTATGTATGTATGTATATACTACCAGTACGTCATGTGGTGCCTTCAATCCCATTGTGACCATGGACCATACCTGAATAGAATTTCGACCTCCGCACCGAACCACCAAAACGCGTTATCGGCTGCTGCCTCCGCATAACCTCACCGAACAACCAGCATTATAACAACTCCAGACCCCATTGCAATTCACTCTCTTTTCCTCCTGCGCCCGACACTACCCACACAAAACCAAAACCCATCTCCCCAAACGAAGACTCCAAAGCGCCAGGAACCCGGGCCTGACCCCGCGCCCCTCGTCAGCTCAAACCCTCCCCTCGAACCGAAGTGCAATACCAACAACCAAAATGT